AACCCAAATATTCAGATGTGTGCAGCACATTTTATGGAGGACTGTTTCCTGATCCTGGTAGAGTAGACTACAATGCCGGCTGTTCTGACTCACGGACTGTAAGTACATTTATTATATTTAAAGAATTTGCCACTGACGATTCAAACGCGAGTTTTTCAAAGCAGTGTAGAGTAGCACTGGTTGTTTGTCATTTCTCTAATCACAAAAGCAGACATGGTTTTATGTTACGCTCCGGCCAGACAGGGCATCACAGTATGGTGAGGGGCGTAACATTTCCGTCACACGCTTGAGATATTTGGCCAATCACAACGCACTGGATAGCTGGCCAATCACAGCACACTTCGCTTCTCAGAATGATGAGCTTTGTTCAAATCGACGCGTTTCTGAAAGACGAGGCATAGCGGAGAAACAATTATGTACAGTATGTGGAAAATAATGTGTTTTTTTAACCTTAAACCGCATAAACACATTTCATTACACCAAATACACAAAATAATGTTCTTTTTAGCAGCATCCTATGACCCCTTTAAGTACTGTAACGAAGTATTATTACTTTGTTACATTACACCACTGCATATCTGCTCGTTTCCCTGTGGTTTGCTGTTTGTTGCTGAATCAAAATGACTATACATTTGGACTGGCCTCTCTGAACACTGCTTTTAAAACCACTGCATGGTTGCTGGGGGTCTTTTTTTCCATCTCTATCAGCTTGCAACATATATAATTTATGTTATAATTTATGCACATTTCTAACTAGGTATTGGCTCAGGCACACATAGCTTGTTTAGGACATTAGTTGAATTAACCAACGGGTATGACACCCAGGTAGACATTACTAAGCCACTAATTAAACAATTGGGGATTTGCTAACCCGGATACTCATAAGTCAAGTCACTAGACTTTATTTATCTGATCAAGCAACCCGGGGCTTGTACCATGAAGGTGACTGAACAAAAACCCAACCAATCCAAACCGGCTTTGTTGGTACCATGACGCTGATCATCAACTTTCTATGTCAACTCAGGTTTTGATCCTGAGTTTATGGAGAGGATGCACATTAAAGTGTGACATCAGTAGTGAACAGCCAATCAGATGCCTTGAAACTGTGATTCTCTTCTCACAAGACAGTCAGTGTGATTTACTGCTAAAGATTAAATGATCGAAAAATAAGAAGAATTTAAAGGGTTAGTTCACCCCAAAATTAAAATTCTGTCATTAATTACTCACCCTCATGTCGTTCCAAACCCGTAAGACCTTCGTTCATCTTCAGAACACAAATTAAGATATTTTTGATGAAATCGGTGAGCTCTCTGACCCTCCCATAGATGTTCCCAGGTCTAGAATCATAGTAAGGACATCGGTAAAAAAGTCCATTTGACATCAGTGGCTTAACTTCAAATTTGCGAAGCTACGAGAATACTTTTTGTGCGCAAAGAAGAAAAAACAAACTTTATTCAACAATTCTGCTCCCCCGATTTACCGTCTTTTTTTTTCTTGTTTCCAGCCAAAATATCTAAACAATTTTTACTTGTCTAGAAAATCCTTCTTGATTTAAGAATGTTTAGATATTTTGGCTGGAAACAAGGCAAAAAAATCTAAGTAAGAAAAGCATTTTTTGCAGTGGTTTAGGTACTAATATGTACCTTTAAGGTACCAATATGGACTGGTACAAAAGTGTCCCTTATGAAACCGCCCCAGTGACAGCTTTTGTACCTTTTTTTCTGAGAGTGTAGCTTTATATTTATATTTATAGGGCCAAGCACACAGAACATGAAAATTCACATAGTTTCATAAAAATAGAGCCATTAGTCATTTTTAATGTCATGTTTATTTGAAAGAAAAAAAAACCTTTTTCCAGGAAAATACATGCAAATGACATTGAATTTGCATTTCTTATCCTTCTCAGTATCTAAATATCCTTCATTTGTGTTAAAGCCCTGATTATATTTAAACAAAAAATTATACATCTTTACTTTGAATATAAGCAAAACGGCCCACAAGTGATAATTTTTCACATTATTTAACATTTATTTCAGAACTCAGGAGTTCAGTATCTTCTGGACAACATCTACGGAGGCTTTAATGAAAATAGCGTTGTCTCTGATATAGTTCCTTTTCCTCATCTCCTCATGGGAGAGGAACTTTGGGTAGCCGAAGCCCAGCATGCTCTCATCCAGACAACCCCCACGAACACTTCCCAGAGCTCCAGGCCGTGGCCTCTGGAAGTTCTTCCAGGTGGGATCTGGGGTGAAGGTCTCTGTGATGTGCTGAGGTTTAGTGAGCGCCGGGTCGCTCTGATCCAAGAGCGAGAAGGAAACGCGGTAAGGGAAAGGCCACTCCAACAGCCCATCGTACTCTCCTGGCAGAATGCGAATGTAGATTGACAGGTGAGAGCCCTCGCCACTACCGTTCCCATGGGGAAAGGCGGACACTTGTAGACGGTAGCCATAGTTATGGGAATAGAAGGCGGGACTAAATAACTCCAAACTCCCAGAAGTCCTGATCTTAGCTTCCTGTAGCCGTTGACTGAAGTCTGTGAGCTTCCAGAGCAGCGTGCCATCTCGACTTCCAGAGAGTTCCTCCACCGCTCGCCGGAGTTCCCTGAGCTCCAGCCTCTGGCGATTCACCAGTCCACCGAGAAGAGAGAGGTGGGTGTGTGTGGCCTCCTCAAGGTGTCGCCCCACTGCAGTCTTAGGGCACTATAAGTGGAACAGATAGAGAGATGTCATGACAGAAGAGGTCATGATACATGATGCATTCTGATATTCATGTCCTACTTTAAAAAAAATATTGGGTTTTTTTTGGTTACTTTTTTTCTCTATTGAATGCAACGATGCTCGCCCACTTTTTCAGTGGCCTTGGTTCCAGAAACAATTTTTCAGTCATTTTTCCCACAGGAATATTTTAAAAGGCTTTGTTAACAAGCCATGAACCAAATCAACCATATATGAGATGATTCACAATACTTTTTACATTTGAAAATCAGACAAAAGATAAAGGTACAAACTGTGTACTTGATGGCTTTAATGAGAGAAAGAACTGCAAGAATACAAGATATGGAAAAAACGAATGTGATTTTTACTTCTGGAACCCAGCTGTTGCACGATATAGTATTTTTTCCTCTTTGTTTTGTTCTACGGAAAAAAAAAAAACTTTTCAAGGCAACACATTAGAAAAAAAAATTGCTTGCTAGTTATCAATTACCATTTTTCTTTCATTTATACTAATTTTGCATGAAGTCTGAATGATAATATGTACACTAAATATGCAAATATAACTGTATTTAACATATAATTATGTGTATATATATGCATATTTGTTGATTTCACATGCAAGTTACTGTACCATACAATTTAAACTGCCGTACCAAACATAGCCACTAGGTGCCACTACCAGAAATCATGACATACAAACTAGCTTACAATGTGACAGAATATCAGTGTGATATGTTATCTGTTTATAGTTAATAATACAATTACAAAAATGTTTTACAAAGAAAAAATTATTAAATATATAAATATAGCTATTAAAAATTGCTCCAATTATTACTTTAAGAATTGTTTTATATTTTATATATATATACTTTTTATAGTTGTTAGTGTTTTATTTTTAACTATTTTTAACTTGGTTCGATACACTATACCGATCTCATGATACAATATTCTGGCGATACTTTAAAAAATCTAAATATAGTTAAAATGGGATTTAAAAAAAAAATTACTTCTAAGACATATGATAACCAGTTAATAAAATGTATAGGGCAATGGTGATACCAGAACAGAAATATTTATTATTCTATTCAGTAATGTATTAAATAATGTATTTGACTTTTAATCTATTAATAATAATTAATAAACATGGAAACTCAAATGTGTGACCATTTGGGTTTACCATTTTTGATGTGCCATTACCATATTTGATGTTAAATTAAATTAGTCAAAATTTCATTTTGGTTGAACTATATATAATATATATTGTCAACATCCACAATACACATTCCTGCATTTTTGTATTGAGATATATTGTTACACCCCTACAAAATAGTACTGAATTTAAATTTATCGGTTATCGCAGATAGTTATCGGTAGTAGATCATACCCTATGTTTGCAGCCAGCCTCCTTAAACGGGCAAAGCACCATCGCAGTGCTGCATCCTTCCTTTACATGTGCCATTAAAGTCTCTCGAGTGATTCCTGCTGTGCCGCATCTGTTAGGGCACTGCATAGGGAAGCATGGACACTGCTGCTGATGATGCTGTGAACATAAAACACCTATGAATACACTCCCTTTACCATAAAATGAATAAATACATAAATGTAAGATGGCAGCACATAGTCCACTGACCTGAATAGTGTCATAGAGGAACTCTTTTTTGCAGTATCTGCAGGGCAGTTTGCGTTTGGGACACTCGGACACAGAGTGCTGGGCCAAGAGTCTCCGCACCATACGAGCCCCACATTTATTCTCACAGTACACACTCTCTTCTGGACAAACACCCTGGTGCTTCTAAATGAGGACAGAGAGGAAGATCAAATATTAAACATGCTTGCATGTGTCAGAGCTGTGGTGCAGTGTTGAAATTAGATTCAGTGTGGTTTGTGCTATTGAAACCAATTGCTAAATTACAAATATTACCAAACTTAAGTGATGTGTTTGTATTATAAAGTATCAGAAGACTTGTGATAATAACAAAACAACAACAAAGAACTGCATGTGTCCGACCTCATATGCCTCCCCAGTGAACTCGTCACCGCAGTGGTCACAGTGCAGTTTTCTCTTCACGCAGTCATGCTGCAGGTGCTCCGGCAGATCACGTCGCAGCAGCTTCACAGAGCAGCGGTTTGGACATGACACCACGTTAAACTCACACACGGACAAATGGGCCTGGAGGAGCAGCGAGAGATCCAGTGTGAGAGTGAGATTAGGGTGTTTAATGTTTTTGAAAGATGTTCACCAAGACTGCATTTACAGTACTTGATCTGGGCCCATATTCACAAAACATCTTAAGGCTAAAAGTAGCTCATAACCCGCCGATTTAGGAGAAAATCTTAAAGTGCCCCTATTATGCCATTTTTACGGTTACTAATATTGTTTTGGGAGTCTCCTACAATAGGATTACATGCATGCAAGGTCAAAAAACGCTTTCGTTTTCTCAAAATATGCATTTAATATCAGCTCACTTTCCAGCGATTCTCAAACGATTCGTTCGAAGCAGTTCAAGGATTCAGTCTCTCTAAACCCCTCCCTAATATTGTTTTGGGAGTCTCCTACAATAGGATTACATGCATGCAAGGTCAAAAAACGCTTCTCAAAATATGCATTTAATATCACCTCACTTTCCAGCGATTCTCAAACGATTCGTTCGAAGCAGTTCAAAGATTCAGTCTCTCTAAACCCCTCCTTTCCGTGAGCCTGCTCTGCTCTGATTGGTCAGATGGCCTAGTCTCTGTTGTGATTGGTCTACGGCGTACAGCGCGTGTCGGAAACGATACGCCTATTTCAATAGTTCTGTATTTTGAACGCTCTATAGAAAATATAAACATCTATTATTTATCATACTTACAGGTTGTGATTCAGTGGAGCAGCTGGTCCAAATAAACAGGACACTGATCCATCTTTCAACAGCAAGTGTTTTGTGAATCCCGCGTTGAACTCCCGAGATTAGAGAAGCAGTCATCAGTAGAGTGATGTGTTTGTGGGCGGGGTCAAGTTGTTCGCGGTCGGCCAACGTAGAACATAGGCGTGCATTATGCAAATGTATTACCCCGTGACGTGTAGCCGTCACGGAAGTGGGATTCGAATTACTAACGACTCGTTTCAGCTGTTCAGAGTCGATTCTTTAATTTGGGAGACAATTACTTTATTTACCCTACATTTTTGCTCTAAGAATTTTTCACAAAGCGTTTTAGAGCTAAAACTAGCTCAACCCTGCCCTTATTCTTAGCTTAAAGGGATAGTTCACCCAAAAATGAAAATTCTGTCATTAATTACTCACCCTCGTGTTGTTCCAAACCCATAAGACCTTCGTTCATCTTCGGAACACAATTTAAGATATTTTTGATGAAATCTGAGGGCTCTCTGACCCTCCCATAGACAGCAAGGTAACTACCACGTTCAAGGTCCAGAAAAGTACCAAGATGATCGACAAAGTAGTCTGTGTGACATCAGTGGTTCAACTGTAAAGTTACGAAGCTACGAGAATAGTTTTTTGCGCAAAGAAAACAAAAATAATCATGATACTGTTGTGAACGCGCGTCCACAAGTGATGCAGTAGAGACGAAAATGTGGAATAAAAGCATTATTTTAGTTTTCTTTGCACAAAAAAGTATTCTCGTAGCTTCGTAACTTTACAGTTGAACCACTGATGTCACACAGACTACTTTGTCGATCATCTTGGTACTTTTCTGGACCTTGAACGTGGTAGTTACCTTGCTGTCTATGGGAGGGTCAGAGAGCACTCATATTTCATCAAAAATATCTTAAATTGTGTTCCGAAGATGAACGAAGGTCTTACGGGTTTCGAACAACACGAGGGTGAGTAATTAATGACAGAATTTTCATTTTTGATTGAACTAACCCTTTAAGACGTCTCTCTATTCCTTAGTAAAATTTGTCTCAGTAGCTTTGTGAATAGGTTTTAAGAGAACACTCTTAGCTAAAAACTTTTACTGTTCTTTAGGAGAACTCTTAGTGGTAAGATAAAATGTTTTGTGAATACGGGCCCAGAAATACAGTGAAAACAATAATACTGGTGAAATATTATTGCAATTCATTTTTCGCCCCAGTTGAATATTAAAATGTTCCTGCGATGGCAAATCTGAATTTTCAGCAGCCATTATTCTAGCCACATGTCATATGATTCTTCAGAAATCATTCTAATATGCAGATTTGGTGTTTGGTGTATGTTGGAAACAGCTTTTTCCAAGATTCTTTAGTGAATAGAAAGTTCAAAAGAACAGCATTTAAATAAAACAAAAATGTTTTATTACATTTTAAATAACTTTACTGTCACTTTTGATCATTTAATGTGTCCTTGCTCAATAAAAGAAAAAAAAACGTAATAATCTTAAACATTTTAACGGTAGTCTATATTGTTGTTTTTTGTACATACTGTAGTGTACTCATACATTTGTACATACAATAGCCTACTAACATATGGACAGCATCTAAAATGCAAACACTTTTAAGAGACTTCAGGAGCCATAAACAAATGTATTCAATCCTACAAAGATGCATGTAGAAATATGTACAAATACGACTGAGATTTGTGTTTGTGTGTCATTTGTTCACCTGCAGGAGCTTGTTCTGTGCAGTCCAGCGGCAGCCCTCCTCGCTGTGGATGCAGCGGATGGGCAGGGAAAGAATCTGCTGTTCCAGCTCCACATCTGGAAAAATCTGCGTGGTCAGAATGACAAATTTAAGAGATTTATTAGAGTAGAACGTATAAGAACAGTTGAAAAGCATGGAAGTTAAAACATGAAACATGAGCCAGGTTGCTATTGTTCAGTACAGCTGTGATTACTAGCAAAATTGGGCACGAGATATTGCTTTTATACAATTCAACAAACAAGATATCAAAAATCAGTAACTTATATTTATCCATTTATATATTAACCTATTTAACAGTAATTTATCCTGGGTTAGGTTAGGGTTAGGGAAAATTAGTTCTGACCTTTAAAGTTTACTTGATGTGTGTTAACAGAGCATTAAACTGGGGAACATATAGGACCCTTTTTATGTGTAAATCTGGGAAACATACTGTAGGACCTTGTGAACATAGGTATGCTTCCACTGCCACCAGTCTCTACTTCTTATCTTCATTCAGAGATGGTGTGTAGGACATAATGGCAGCATAGGCAACCCCAGTTGCAGCAGCATTGCTGTAACATTTTAATGTTCATCACAGCGCTGAATAACCATCCAATAATACATAGAAATAAAGTAGATTAAAACTATTTGTGCTCATAATTTGTGCTGTGCATTGGGGTTTGTGAAGAATGGTGGGGAAAAACACATTTCTTAGCAAACAATCATAAGAATGAAAATTGCATGTAAATAGGAGCGAAGAGGTTTGCTTGTGTCATCTTACTGCGATTAAGTCTTTACTTTGATAATTGGAAATAATTGCATTATTGGTGCACATGTAAGCATAGTCAATGACTCACTCGTGTTACTAGTGGCGTAACAAACATTGAAAATGTCATTGTTGTTGGACTGTGTATCAGCACTCTTGCAAACACTGCTTAGCCAATCAAATTTGAGCAAAGAAACTAACTGTTGTAGGCAAGTTTAATATATTCAGGACTGGCCTGTGTAAGAATTAAAAATAAGAAAAATGTCTATGTTTGGTTTAAGGTTAAGCATGCATTTTTGGGATGTTCTATTGCAGTGATTCTCAGCTGCGGTCCTGGGGACCCAGTGCTATGCACATTTTGTATATCTCTCTTATCTGACTGGCTACATCCAAAAGCTGAAATATACAGAGGTAGGAAGTCAAAAAGGCACCGAATCCAGTGATCACATCACATCCAGTCTGCTGAGATACCTTCACTTGATTGATTTTTGAAGGCAGCATGGCATGTATCATTCACTGCCTATGATTTCCCACTGTCCTGTGTGTTCAGTTCTATTACAGTTGAGCTAAAAAAGAAGAAGATGGCAGCTAAATGTTGCAGTTGGTGGTCAGTTTGTGTGTAAACCCTGTTGATAAAACCAGCATATGCTGGTTAGGTATGTTTTGAAGCATGGCTGCTGGTTTGAGCTGGTTTAAGCTGGTCTTTAGCTGGTCCTAAGCTGGTACTAAGCAAATATAGCTCCTGCTCAGGACCATCTTAGGACCAGCACATGACCAGCTTAAACCAGCTCAAACCAGCAGCCATGCTTCAAAACATACTTGACAAGCATAAGCTTGTCATTTCAACAGGAAATGCATGTTTTTGACCAACCTTTCCCAATTTTGATGTAATTTCTAGCGAGAAATTAGTATTGTGGCAATTAAATATTCACTTAGTTATCACCAAAGCTCTATTCTGTTACAGCTCACTAAACTATTACGCTGCATCAATAACCTGTCCGAAATCAGTTTTGGGAGTTACTTGGGCAAACACTGCCTGCAAAATCATTGCCTGATAGGGCAGCGATGCAAAAAATCAGCTGCCTAAGATTTTTTGTGCTGGCACTAAATTCAGTTAATGGATCTCTTTCCTAACAACTGCTTTTCTTCCACAACTGGAGTTGAGAACCATTGTTCTATTGTATAATTTAACTTAATTTAATTATTTAATTATTATACAATAATTTATTACATCAAGGCAAGGCAAGGCAAGGCAAGTTTATTTGTATAGCACAATCTGCTTCCAAACAGTTAAGCACCCTTTTGAAAAAATATGTGGGAAGTGTGTCAAGATAGCATGTTGACGATTTAAGGTGCTGTACTATTTCTTCCAAAATTTTGCTATCAATTTCTTCAAAAGCAGACATAGTATCTTCTTTTTGATATTGTGGTCGAACATGTCTAACCTCTGCATAACTTGGGGATGTGCTAATCGCCTTCCTGATATTATTGATCTTCTCAGAAAAGAAGGAAGCAAACTCATTGCATTTGTTGTCGGAGAGCATTTCACTGGCAATCTGATTTGGGGGGTTTGTCTCTCAACAGTAGCAAAAAGAGTGCGAGTGTTGTTTAAGTTACTGTTTATAAGGTTTGAGAAGAATGAACATCAGGACAATGATCGTCCTTTGGATGAAATCAGAAGACATTTGAAACTGTTGTGTTATGAGGGTGCACTTACTTTGGCATAATCCAGCGGCAGGTGGTCTTCTGGGCACTTGAACACACCTTCACTATTAAAATTTAGCAGAGAAAAAAAATGTGACAAAGTCAGATTCCTGAAAGTTAATGATTCACATACATTCTGAAAGCTATGTTGTATACTTTGGGAAAGAATCACCATGGTAAATGAGTTGTTTAATATGTGTTCAAATTACAATGTCAACAAATAAAAGCTGGTTGTCTATTACTAGAGCATTTTTTAAGATGAAGAATTTACGTATTTTTGCTCTCCTACATAACGGAAAGTGACACTTACACATGAATGTGTTAGAATTTCATTTGCATTCATTTTACATTATACAGTATGTAGTGGGTTGAAAAGCAGTTCACAACTGCCACCGATTGATGCCTCCATGTTATAAAGCCTAAATGAATCACAGCCGAACTGATTTGACAGGAACCTCAGAATCACCTCCCACACCACAAACTGACAAAGTGCCTTCAGGAGAATATGAGTGAATCATCCATCTGGCACGGTGACGCCCCCCAGCATACATTATATTGGGAAGCAGTGCGACCAACACAACACATATTAATAGAGCTGTGATCTTTCCATTACGTGTGACACAGAAGCACATCGTCATTTCAAAATCCTACAGGGAATTTTCCCAAAAGTCCCGCAGGAAGCTTCACAAGAAGATGCAAGATGAGATCGCGACATGCAAGTGGATTTTGAATGCATTTTTCGAAATAAAAATGTTTTAAAATAACTTTGATTCTTTTTTGTTTCGATAAATAGTTTTATTTTTTTCCGTCAGTTGGTCATGTCTTATCTTGTCTAGATCTATGAATTAGTCAGAACTGCAAATGAGGCCCTTGAAAAAGTTGCACATCATGCCCTTCAGGGCAGATACATGTTATATCATGTTAAAATCACAAATCATGTGTGAACTATTGTATGTTTCTAACAATATTACTTTAAGGTGACCGAGAGAGCATATGTACTGTATCCTTCTTGCTCTTAATACTTGCTAATGGTTACATTTTAAATCACTGCATACATTGCCTTACAGCAATCCAATCCACAGATTTACATGTGAATTAGTCATTCATTTAAATTAATAGTCTATTTAAAAAACGCATGTGTTAGTCTGTCAATCATTATGATAACATCCACAGGATAACACAGGGCAATGAATGTAATTGTTTCACTCATTACACCTGTGAGCAACACAACTCTGTGTTATGACTATGGGACTGAGAAGACAAGGCATGGAATGCTAAGAATGGGTCATAACCCAAAACTGTGCAGTTGAGCAATACTACCAAATAAACTGACTCACTGCATACTTTCTTTTCACATTAATTCCTTTAGGCTGTTTTTAAATCACAACACTTCTATAGGAACAATCATAGGAATTCTGTAGTATTTTGATTATGTTATTATCTTTTAAAATGTAAAAGAGAAAAGCATGTTATTTTATGCAAACATTACGATGTCAAATCTATAGAGACAGAAAGCACTACTCTGTAGCCCGAGACATTTTGTGTCACTCTGACATCTTGCTTGGCCTGTTTGGCATTTGTTTATTACCACTCTGTCATAGAAGCAATTCTTTTTAAGCGATACTTTCCACATAGACAATGACCAAAGCTATTAAATTATTTAAAAATAAATAAAAAAAATGTAATGGTGAATACACCTCTTCTATGATTAAAATGTTTTCAATTTTTGAACTAAAATGATCTATGTGATCTGTTTAAAGATTGAATTTTTAAAAATGAAACTCAGATATGTTACCTCTGTAAACCCTTAAGACTGTGCGTCAGCAAGTCCTCCTCAGCCCTACCCCCAATATGCGTAATACATTTCTGTTATAATTTTTTTTTAAATTAGGTTTGTTCGATTTTAGATGGAATAACCCTGAGAAATCGTCATGATGTTCATGATTCAATAATATACAGTAGATATATAATTTATACTAATGTTCAAATATTTTGAGTCATTAAGGTTTATACATTTTTTTTGTCTCTTAAATGTTTATTAATGTTTATGTCTCTAATGTTGATTTATTTTTTCATAAATAAAGAACAGCAATATTGTGAAATATTATTTTCTATTTATAAATATTTCTAATATGTAAAGGGACCTCAGATGATGCCAACCCTGAAACAACATACAGAACTACCACATTTTGCTATAAGTTTGATTGCATCATATAATAACTGCTGTTAATAGTGTTCATCGTCTGTTTTATTACATCTTAAATTGATTTTTCCGTACATTTCTGCCATATGTACATTAACTGACAGTCACCACTGATAAGCTACCACTAAATATTGTAGAAACTTAATTTGCTGTAAAGTTGCTTTGCAACTATTTGTATGGTGAAAAGCACTGTACAAATAAACTTGAATTGAATTCATATATTTTAAAACTTTCATGTGACAACAAAGCTGAATTTTCAGTGACACACGACTCGTCAGAAATCATTCTAGCATGCTGGAATGAACATCAGGACAATGATCGTCCTTTGGATGAAATCAGAAGACATTTGAAACTGTTGTGTTATGAGGGTGCACTTACTTTGGCATAATCCAGCGGCAGGTGGTCTTCTGGGCACTTGAACACACCTTCACTATTAAAATTTAGCAGAGAAAAAAAATGTGACAAAGTCAGATTCCTGAAAGTTAATGATTCACATACATTCTGAAAGCTATGTTGTATACTTTGGGAAAGAATCACCATGGTAAATGAGTTGTTTAATATGTGTTCAAATTACAATGTCAACAAATAAAAGCTGGTTGTCTATTACTAGAGCATTTTTTAAGATGAAGAATTTACGTATTTTTGCTCTCCTACATAACGGAAAGTGACACTTACACATGAATGTGTTAGAATTTCATTTGCATTCATTTTACATTATACAGTATGTAGTGGGTTGAAAAGCAGTTCACAACTGCCACCGATTGATGCCTCCATGTTATAAAGCCTAAATGAATCACAGCCGAACTGATTTGACAGGAACCTCAGAATCACCTCCCACACCACAAACTGACAAAGTGCCTTCAGGAGAATATGAGTGAATCATCCATCTGGCACGGTGACGCCCCCCAGCATACATTATATTGGGAAGCAGTGCGACCAACACAACACATATTAATAGAGCTGTGATCTTTCCATTACGTGTGACACAGAAGCACATCGTCATTTCAAAATCCTACAGGGAATTTTCCCAAAAGTCCCGCAGGAAGCTTCACAAGAAGATGCAAGATGAGATCGCGACATGCAAGTGGATTTTGAATGCATTTTTCGAAATAAAAATGTTTTAAAATAACTTTGATTCTTTTTTGTTTCGATAAATAGTTTTATTTTTTTCCGTCAGTTGGTCATGTCTTATCTTGTCTAGATCTATGAATTAGTCAGAACTGCAAATGAGGCCCTTGAAAAAGTTGCACATCATGCCCTTCAGGGCAGATACATGTTATATCATGTTAAAATCACAAATCATGTGTGAACTATTGTATGTTTCTAACAATATTACTTTAAGGTGACCGAGAGAGCATATGTACTGTATCCTTCTTGCTCTTAATACTTGCTAATGGTTACATTTTAAATCACTGCATACATTGCCTTACAGCAATCCAATCCACAGATTTACATGTGAATTAGTCATTCATTTAAATTAATAGTCTATTTAAAAAACGCATGTGTTAGTCTGTCAATCATTATGATAACATCCACAGGATAACACAGGGCAATGAATGTAATTGTTTCACTCATTACACCTGTGAGCAACACAACTCTGTGTTATGACTATGGGACTGAGAAGACAAGGCATGGAATGCTAAGAATGGGTCATAACCCAAAACTGTGCAGTTGAGCAATACTACCAAATAAACTGACTCACTGCATACTTTCTTTTCACATTAATTCCTTTAGGCTGTTTTTAAATCACAACACTTCTATAGGAACAATCATAGGAATTCTGTAGTATTTTGATTATGTTATTATCTTTTAAAATGTAAAAGAGAAAAGCATGTTATTTTATGCAAACATTACGATGTCAAATCTATAGAGACAGAAAGCACTACTCTGTAGCCCGAGACATTTTGTGTCACTCTGACATCTTGCTTGGCCTGTTTGGCATTTGTTTATTACCACTCTGTCATAGAAGCAATTCTTTTTAAGCGATACTTTCCACATAGACAATGACCAAAGCTATTAAATTATTTAAAAATAAATAAAAAAAATGTAATGGTGAATACACCTCTTCTATGATTAAAATGTTTTCAATTTTTGAACTAAAATGATCTATGTGATCTGTTTAAAGATTGAATTTTTAAAAATGAAACTCAGATATGTTACCTCTGTAAACCCTTAAGACTGTGCGTCAGCAAGTCCTCCTCAGCCCTACCCCCAATATGCGTAATACATTTCTGTTATAATTTTTTTTTAAATTAGGTTTGTTAGATTTTAGATGGAATAACCCTGAGAAATCGTCATGATGTTCATGATTCAATAATATACAGTAGATATATAATTTATACTAATGTTCAAATATTTTGAGTCATTAAGGTTTATAAAATTTTTTTGTCTCTTAAATGTTTATTAATGTTTATGTCTGTTATTTTTTCATAAATAAAGAACAGCAATATTGTGAAATATTATTTTCTATTTATAAATATTTCTAATATGTAAAGGGACCTCAGATGATGCCAACCCTGAAACAACATACAGAACTACCACATTTTGCTATAAGTTTGATTGCATCATATAATAACTGCTGTTAATAGTGTTCATCGTCTGTTTTATTACATCTTAAATTGATTTTTCCGTACATTTCTGCCATATGTACATTAACTGACAGTCACCACTGATAAGCTACCACTAAATATTGTAGAAACTTAATTTGCTGTAAAGTTGCTTTGCAACTATTTGTATGGTGAAAAGCGCTATACAAATAAACTTGAATTGAATTCATATATTTTAAAACTTTCATGTGACAACAAAGCTGAATTTTCAGTGACACACGACTTGTCAGAAATCATTCTAGCATGCTGATTTGCTTCTCAAAAAACGTATCAATGCTGAAAGCAGAGCTGATTAATACTGTTGTCCTTGCTGAATAAAAATATATCTTTTTTAATGTAGTACATACTTAGAAAAATGTTTGGAAAATTCTTAGTTTATAACTCACCTGAACAATTTACACCTAACACTCAAGTATTAAATATGTAAGAAATATATTGTGCTGCATGCTATGTTTACACCTCTTGACATTTTGAAATATTCATGTTAATATGAAATAATTGTGTTTTAATGTTTCTTTTATCTCTTTTACTTTCATAATTTGTCCCAGATATAATGTGTGTTTTTTTCATGTCACGTTAAGAACTACGGTGTGAAAGTTAAAAATTCACCTGGCAAAAATATGAAAATAAACCACCTCGCTTTGATCATTCAGACATAGAGGTTATGAACCAGCTTTACCTGAGGTACTCCTGCAGGCAGGTGTCGCAGAATCTGTGTCCGCAGGTGGACATCTGCACGGGGTCCCGCATCGGCTTTTCACACAGAGGACAATAAAAGCTCCTCCTCGGTCTCTCCAGAAACTTTAAATCTAACCCTGGCATAATACCTTTGTGTCTATCAACATCAGACTGCACACTCATAAACTGCTGGAATCAAACTTTACAAAGAATCTTAATGCAAAGAAGAAGAACCACTATTAGTAGGTTAATCGCTCGTTTATCGAACCAACACTAAACACCAATCGATCTCTCATGACACTTCCGTCTTTAGCAAGGTACAGCACAGGGAAATCTTACTCATTCCAACTGTACCTCTGCACTCAAAGCCAAAGAGGAGGAGCCACAGCCGCCCACTTATAATATTGCATATGGGCAGTGTTAGTTTACGATCATCAAGATTTAAATCAGTTTTCATTCATATTTTGAATTAGGTTTTATTTTGAAGTGTTCATTTTTAAGAAAGCGTAAAATGTAGATATTTGATGATTTTGTCCATTTTTATTTGTTAATTGTTTTATTTGTTTATTACAGAAGAGGATTAGTACAATACGAAGTTTCATTTCAGTTTTAATTATTTTAGTACATCAAATTATTAGTATTATTATAATTGACTGTCTGTACAGTTTATATTATTGGGTTGGCTTGAGAAAGCTAACGTTACTCGTCCTAGACCTAGCTCTTCAGACTGATCTGACTCCTGTTGCTATCTATCTATCTATCTATCTATCTATCTATCTATCTATCTATCTATCCTAGCGATATGCTAATCATGCTAGAAACGTACTAACAATATGCTAGTAGCATGCTAATCATGCTAGCAACATGCTATTCATGTTAGAAACATGCTAGTAACTTGCTAATCATGATCGCAACATGCTAGTTACTTGCTAATCAAGTTAACAACATATTAGTAACATGCTAATCATGCTAGCAACAGGCTATTCATGTTAGAAACATTCTAGTAACTTGCTAATCATGCTATTAACATGCTAGTTACTTGTTAATCATGCTAGCAACATGCTAGTGACAGGCTAATCATGCTAGAAACATGCTATCAACCTGTTAATCATGCTACAAACATGCTAGCGACATGCTATTAACTTACTAGTCATGCTAGCAACATGCATGAATTATAACATGCATGGTAATCATAATGCTAGCAAACATGTTAATCATGGTAGAAACATGCTAGCAACATGATAATCATGCTAGAAGCATGATAGTCACTTGTTAATAATGTTAACAACATGCTAGTTACTTGCTAATCAAGTTAACAACATATTAGTAACATGCTAATCATGCTAGCAACAGGGTATTCATGTTAGAAACATTCTAGTAACTTGCTAATCATGCTAGCAACATGCTAGTGACAGGCTAATCATGCTAGAAACATGCTATCAACCTGTTAATCATGCTACAAACATGCTAGCGACATGCTATTAACTTACTAGTCAGGCTAGCAACATGCATGAATTATAACATGCATGGTAATCATAATGCTAGCAAACATGTTAATCATGGTAGAAACATGCTAGCAACATGCTAATCATGCTAGAAGCATGATAGTCACTTGTTAATAATGTTAACAACATGCTAGTTACTTGCTAATCATGTTAACAAACATGCTAGTAACTTGCTAATCATGCTAGAAACATGCTTGTTACTTTGCTAATCATCCTAGCAAACATGCTAGTAACTTGTTAATCATGCTACCAACATGTTAGTAACTTGCTAATCATGCTAGAGACATGCTAGTTACTTGTTAATCATCCTAGCGACATGCTAGTAACTTGCTAATCATGCTACCAACATGCTAGTAACTTGTTAATCATGATAGCAAAATGTTAGTTACTTGCTAATCTTCCTAGCGACATGTTAGTAACTTGTTAATCATGCTACCAACATGCTAGTAACTTTCTAATCATGATAGCAACATGCTAGTTACTTGTTAATCATGCTATCAACATGCTAGTAACTTGCTAATCATGCTATCAACATGCTAATCATGATAGCAACATGCTAGTCCCTTGCTAATAATGTTAACAACAGAGTAATCACTTACTAATCATGCTAATTACATGCTAGTTACTTCTTAATCATGCCAGCAATATGCTAGTAACAGGCTAATCATGCTAAAAACATGCTAGAAACATGTTATCAACATCTATCTAATCTATCTAAATTTTCTAACTTCAGACTTTTACAACTGCTTTAAAATTTCAGGCTAGGCCAGGGCTGTCCAAACTCGGTCCTGGAGGGCCGGTGTCCTGCAGAGTTTAGCTCCAACCCTAATTAAACACACCTGAACCAGCTAATCAAGGTCTTACTAGGCATAGAAACTTCCAGTCAGGTGTGTTGAGGCAAGTTGGAGCTAAACTCTGCAGGACACCGGCACCTCCAGGACCGAGTTTGGACAGCCCTGGGCTAGGCTTTCTCAAGCCAACCTAAAGTTTGTCTTGACAAACTTTTTTATCTAGTTTTTATTGTGGTTTTAGTTATTTTAGTGCATCAAGTTAATCTAAATGAAAATAAGAAATATTGCCAACTAGCTGATTTTTATTTATAGGCTATAATTACTTGATATTTTATTTTAATTCATGATTATTTAAAATAACAAACATGTTTTTATGGTCTATAACCCTGAATATTTAGTCAAAATTTAAGTAGAATTTAAACAATGATGAATACATGTATTTAGTGTCTCTTTCCTCCTCCCCATCCACCTGTTTTACATTGATAGCATAGCACCCTCTGTGTAAATGTTGAAATTTGATACTGCTACACCTCCCAATGGCTCTCACAATTCAAAAGGTATGAAAAACGTGCCTGAGACGTATTCATTTACCACATTTGCTGTTGATTTGCTGTTGACATGTATTTAGTGTCTCTTTCCTCCTCCCCATCCACCTGTTTTACATTGATATAGCACCCTCTGTGTAAATGTTGAAATTTGATACTGCTACACCTCCCAATGGCTCTCACAATTCAGAAGGTATGAAAAACGTGCCTGAGACGTATTTATTTACCACATTTGCTGTTGATTTGCTGTTTATTTTTACATTGCATCATAAGTACCGATTCTCGTCTTACTAGAGTGTGTAAATGTAGATATTTTAGACGGTTTCATCGAAACAGGTTTCAAGCTGTAGAACCAGTTTTACTTCCTCGTTCCACAAAGGAATATTCAGGTTGACCTTAGACTCCTTGTATCAGCAGTAAAAAGCACAGAGCTTGTTCAGCACAGCTGCGTTAAACTCCATGCTTCTTACTGTTTGGAGCATGCGTTAATGCTCAGCTATTGCGACTCAAATAACCCTTCTATTATGTGATGAGTAACTGAAAAGGGCTTTTGTTTGCTTTTAAAAATTATTCATTTCAGTTAATGTGTCAGTGTGCCGAAGAAAAGCAGTGCATTTATTTGGTGTCAACCACGAGAAGGAGTACACGTAAGCTTTTGTGTATTTGTGTAGGAGGGCAACAAAGAGCCAGATAACGAAAAGAATAATAAAACTAGAAAAAGAAGTTATAACAAACATGACAAACATTCTTCCACCTACTGTACAGTCAGTGAGATGCCAGAAGCTACACAATTAAAACAGAAAAACCACATGCAGCTGTGTAAAAACAAGTTTATTGTTGCATTAAAAATGATTTCTGTATGTCATAAAAGTCTATGGAATTATTATAAGACACATACAGTATGTTAGGACTACTGGAAATGTGGAAACACATGCATAGATCCTTCAGATAAACAGCATACAAATTTCTGCATATATAGACTGAAATGTTGTCATGTGTATTGTAGGAATATTTGCAGAAACATATTACATATATTGTAGTTGGTCTGCTTTTTTCACCATCATTTTGGCACTCACACTGTTGTATGGCAGACCCCATTCACTTGCATTGTATGAAAAAAGGGCAGCATAGTTATCTTTCAAAATTTCTTCATCTTGTCTCATAGAAAAAGGAAATACAAACAGGTTTGAGAAATCAGTATACGATGACAGAATTTTCATTTTTTGAGTAAACTATTCATTTAAATATAAATTAACTACATATTCTGTATTTTCGACAATAATATTTCCTTCACATGAAACAATTCTTCATAAATCTGATTGAACCATATAACTTGTTAACGATTCACAAAACTCACAATTAGACTCTTGTTTGAAATGTGCATTTCTTCAAAATGCTGGACTTCTTATTCAAAATAGCAAATATTATAAGTCATGCGTTTTTATATTGCGTAAGAAAACAAAATCATTCTATTCTGAGAGACCTTCATTTCCTTCTTTAAAAAAACATCCCGGACAGGATGGCAAGGGTCTTTGAGCTTAATTAAAAGAGTGTATTCTAAAATAGACACTGATTAAAGTGCTCCAGATATTATAATAATTTGTATTAAAATTGTATGTTGGTTTAAATGACAAAAATGCAGCATTGTCATAATGATTGAAATGAATCACGGCCATGATAATAAAACTAAGGCAAATGAGGGAAGCAGCACTTCAGTAGGAGTTAGCCGACCTTCCGTCCAAGGTCTTGGTAAGATTTCTTCATATTATTCACATTCTTAGTCAGTAAAGTATCTCTGTTAAAGAAAAAAAAATAGTAATTGTGAATTAGTAATTTGTTTAAAAAATGACTCTGTCACACGAAAAGCTCATATGCTTTTTATATCTGATTGGATGAGCCATGCACACTTTTCTGATATTGTATTTCATTTTATTTAAGTTGAAAATTATTTGTAATATTTCATAATTAAAAAAAGCTGTAATATCATAAACTGTTTATAATACAAAAACTATGAAACTATTTTAAATCATGTTTATACAGTATATTTATATGTTTATATGTTAATAAAATATATTACTTGGCAGAAGAATTGACTATTTTGATTATTAATATTAATACAGTTTATTAACTGAACATTGGCATTTTCAATCATACTAGAACTTCTGTTTTTATTTTTTTTTAATTATTATCGATATATTTTATATGTATAATAATCTAATCTAATATAATATTTGAACCATGTTTACATATAATATTATTAATGATTCATGTTTATTATATAATATTATAATAATACATAATAACCATCTAGTAGTCTTTTGATTTTGATTATTATTAATAATAATAGATTTTAATTTGTATACATTTTTAACAGTATCAATATATTTTATATGTATAATAATATAATTTATATTAAATATACATATTATATTAATATCTACATTGCATTTTTAAACATTACAAAA